ATAGGTCAATCTTAGGTGTGCATCATGACTCATAGTCACAGCCTTCTTAAAAGTAAGTGTATTCCCATTTTCATGGGTAAGGTACCTTGGGGGTAGGTAACTTCCATAGTGTCATCCAATGAATAAGTTACAGAACAGAAACTCAATGTAGGTCTGTCTGACATGAAATTAATAAGTAATAGAACAAAAATTCAAGCCAGGTCTCCCTGAGGTGAAGCCCAAGCTCTCTCCACTCTACTGCACTCCACTCCATTACGTTTAACTTTGCCATACCTGCTAATTCCAAGCAGTTGGAAATTTGAACCCCCAGGGATCCAACATGACATTGAGCATCAGAGATCTAACTGCAGAGATTTAGAGTCCACCAAACACTTTGGATGCTCATTTCATATAACATGTGTGGCTCTGTAAAAGATAAGTAACAGTATCTCCATTTTACAATGGAGAGTGCATGTGAGTTGTGCACAACATTAAGTAACAGACATGGCCTTCAGACATGGTACATAGCTATCTTGAGTCCTAATGTGCATTCTCTGAGCCTAGAATTACTGAGCAGAAAGAGTCATTTTTGCTTCACTTGTAGTACTTAGAAACTTTTCAAACATTTTCCAGTGGGGCAACTTCCTGATAATATAAAGACCATCAAATGAAAAAATAAACAAAATTCCAAGGCATTAAAGATTTACACTAGAACAGAGATGTCTTTTACTCTGTAAAGACAACATGAAATAAAATCCATACAAATGTCTTTGAAATAAATAAGCAAACAAACAAACAGAAATGTTATGAGATGCCTGTCTTAGTTACTTTTTACTCGTTGCTGAGATAAAATACCTGAAGCCCAAGTTGGGAAAGAAAAGGTTTATTTCTTACAGTTTTTGGAGGTTTCAGTCCACACTCAGTTGGCTCCAAGGCAGGCGGGCATGGCTGGGCCGCAGTTCATGGTGGCTGCAAACAGCAAGCAGGAACCAGCCAAAGAGCAAGACACACCTTCTTCCTGTCATTGCATCACATCCTGGCTCCACCTCCATGTGGGTGTAGCACTGACACCATCAACAAGCACTAGACAATGAACCATCACAAATGCACAATGCAAACTCATGAGGTCTGGGGGCCACAGACATAAACCATGACAATGCCATATTGCTTTCTCTTAGTGACATAGATTTATGAAAAATGAATATTGGTCTTTAATAGAGAAAATGAAAGTTTAAGTAATATACATTTCTAACAATGATAGAAAAATTATAGCTCGGGAAGCAAACATTCCTCAGGCTCTCCACAGACATCCAGAAGTCACAGTGTACATATATCCTTGATAAAGAAGTTCGCAAGATAGAATTATGTTAAGTGAAGTTTCTCATTATAAGTATTCTGATGTGTTTTTATTACTTTCATTGTCTTGAAAGCTGAGGGATTATTTTAAGCAGCTACTCTAATCCTTTGATTTGGAAGTGTTGCATATATATAACGTATTGCAGGCAAGGTGACAACCTCTTAGGAGAGAGAAGAGCAAGGTATAGGTACCTGTTATCTCCTCACCCGCCCTAATGCTGCCTGACAGTACCTCCTCCCACCCTAACTGGTAGTAGTACCATGATTTATTCTGAAAAACAAAGCACCTAAATACTAGTACCCATGTGGTTTTGTAGAAGATTAAGTGAATTCTGTAGATTACTTCACGACCACTGCTACTCAAAGTTGAAGGATAAGGACAGTTTTTGTTCAGCATAGACTGTCTTTAAGTATTATCTCTCCTCTTTTGAGCCTCATACCAGTGGTTCTGGCTGTTTCAATATACCTAATCCAGTACCAGCGGCTCCTTTTGTAGGTGTCCATTTATGCTGTAGGTTTTTCCTTCTGTCCCTTATCAGAAGTTCCTTCCAAGGGACCTTGCTTTCTTGGGTTTAGCTGTCAGCTTTAACTGGAATGAAAATTATACAAAGACCTTTTTCTGCTTTCTTCACTGGCGGCCCCAAGCATCTAGAGTAGAGCCTGACACAGGGACTACAAGAACAAACTTCGGCATTTCATGATGTCAGTTACCAAGCTAAACTCAGATATGACCACCCGGAATGCCTTCCTTGTCTTTCAGAGTACCACAGAGCATGTTTTAAAAATTGGGACTACCCATTGATCTTTTTCTAACTTTCCACTACAAAGTTAGAAGACATGGTAATAAGGCCAACTACTTGTTCTTTTAAATGGAGCGCTTCCTCTTCCCCTACCAGTCCCCACTGAGAACAGTGAGGTGTTTACACTTGGCTCTCAATTACCTTATTTATTGATGATATTAGAATTTGTGGCTCTTCTAATATATTTGAATTTGGTTTTTAAAATATTTACAACACACAGTGATATGGATGGAAATTTCACACATTGATGAAGGAGAAATATTTTAGGGTGGTGAAGTGTCTTAAGTCACACCAGGGGAAGTAAGGCTTTCTATAGGTCTTTTACCTAGGAAAAATTGAGATCCTAGTCTAAGTTCTTCTCATTTTCCTTAAGGCTCTCTTTCCTAAACCCTCAGAGGTTCAGCAGTATTAATTGCCTCTTAGTAATACCCTTTTTGGCATTTGGACATTGTTGTATCCAAATCACCATATTCATAGAGCCCTTGAAGCCTTATCTGCTGTCTAACTCAGTCTGAATATGGTATTTCATGTCACTAACTCATATGCAGTGACGGTGTGGCCACAGTCTACTTAGCAGAGCATGAAAGCAGCCAGTTAGAAACCATCTGATGACGGAGAAAAGCAGAGGTCCTCCAGGAAGGCCACGCAAGCCTCGCAGGAATTTCTTCCCCTGTTTAGCCATGCACATCGTTTAAAACCACTGGATAAGAACAAATCACTAGGTTCACATTTTGGGGGACTTGGTAGCTTATAAGAGAGAGAGTTACATCTCAGTATCTGATTGGCTAAGTGAACCAGATTTAGTCACAGAGAGTTCTGCTAGGAGCATGGAGGGAGGGGTTTGGGATGGTGACATAGGGCAAGAGATGGACCTACATATGTATGACCTAACCTTATCTCAAATTATGTATTCATCAGAGCCAAATCATTTGAACATTAATTATTGAAATTTGCTGCATTTAGAGATGATACAGTAGTGTGCAATCTTTAGCTTATGTTCATATTCCAAACATAAAGTCTTAGGTTTGAGAAAACTCTTGTCTTTTAAGTAAATCTTAAATATGCACTTCTAAAATTGCTGAAATTACTTATATACATAAGTTTTACACTTAGGATACAAATGCTGAAATTACTTATATACATAAGTTTTACACTTAGGATTATAGCAGAAAGCAAGACAAATTGAGTTACTGCTCTCAGAGCTTACATTAAATTGCTATATAATAGTTCATTGTATAATGTAAGTTGTTGCTGTGTGAAGGAATAGTGTGTCAGGTAGGTAAAGGTGATAGGGGAGAAAACGTAAAGCAAGAGAGTTGAGAGTGTGAGCGTGTTGTGGGGAAGAGGAGGGATGGCAAGGGATGATGAGGAACAAGTAGGGAGCACTTGAGTAATGGTCTGTGCTCCATGGGGAGGAGCAGGAACTGCAGAGATCCACAGATGCAAATGGTCAATGTAATGGAGCCACTGCTACCAGGTAGCTCAGGGCTGGATAGAAATGAACATCCGAAAGAAGTGGTGCCTCCAGGAAGCCAGGGAGCAGACGTGCAGGGCCTTCTGCAGCACTGTGAAGGCTCCAGATGTTACATGAAAGTACTGAAAATCCATCGAAAGTTTGGAGTAGGGGAGCACCCTCATAAAACTTACATCCATGATGGAGATGATGATCGGGAGCCACCTCTAGCGCCTGCCATGTTGTGTATTGATCACATTAGACACTAAGCTCTCTACATGGATTAGCTCATTCAGTCTTTATCACCACTATTTGCTAATAGTCACTGTGACTGTTCTTACGGGACAGAGGTCATAGCTAAGCGTTTGGTCATGAGTAACTTGCCTTTTGCCACAAAAGTAGTAAATGGCAGAACCAGGGTTTTTCAATTGCTATTCTAAATTGCTTTAATATCTTTCATAGAGTATCACAATAGAATTTCAAGATATGATTGATTATCTTTGTTCATTTACTTTATATACATATAATTGTAAACTAAAGGATATTAAATTTTAGTTAATATTACTATTTGCTGATTTTTCCAGACATTTAAAAAATGTTATTTTCTTTTTTTTTTTTTTTTTTTTTTCATTTTTATCGGTACCAGGGATCGAACTAACGACCGCCTGCTTGCAAGGCAGGCGCTTATGCCGCTGAGCTAAATCCCCAGCCCCCCAAAAATGTTATTTTCATATACTATCATATGATCTTCCAATTGAGAAAATGTATTTACAAGAGCCACCCTAAAAAGAAACTTCCTTATTAAATAACCCTTACAGAAAATGAATTCTTAATGTGTAGATTCACAATTATATCTCAGCATCATTGATTTTTCTTACTAAACTTATGGAGTCTTTTCAACATGTTTAAAAACATTGTTCTCAGAGAGGAGAACAGAGACTTCCCTAGACTGCTAAAGGATTTGGAGTGTGAGACTAAGTTTGCAAACATTCTCATGAATTCTCCAGAAGAGCTACCATAAGCACTGCTGGATTTATTACATTTTAGAGCAAGGGAGAATGTGATGTTTACATGATGAGGCTTATAAGGTGGCTGTAGCTCACTGACCACATCTGCCAGTCTGCCCAGCATTGTTTCAGTTTATATGTTTGTCCAGGTATAATTACAAACATTGTCCCCTTTTACACTCAGAACTGTCCCAAAGGAAACATCACAGCTGGAGCTGTTTTCAAGAAAGCCGTTTGCTGGTTGTAATCGATTGAGTGCTATCTCTAAGACCTGTAATAGAAACTTGCAAACCCCTGTGTTCAGACTTATTATAATAATTAATGAGTGTAATTAAGTGATAACATTACGTAGAGTGGATATAGTGGAAGAAAATAGTTTTAATCAGAGTTATTTTTCTTTTGCAGCCAAAAAGGAGCATAAAATGGAAGAAAGTCACTTAGAGAATGCACAGAAGAGGTAAATAGTTCTGATTTGAATTCAGTTCTTTGACTGTATATTCTATTTATTGTCACTGTTTAGTATTCTTCTGTTGCCATTGCTTGCAACCAGCCACCCAGCTCCAGAACTTTTTCATCTCCTTCAGCTGAAACTCTCTACCCATTAAGCACAAACTGTTTGTCCCTCCTCTCCCCAGCTTGGCAGTCACCGCTTCCCCTTCTATTTCTGTGATTTTGATTACTCTAGGTACCTCATGTAAGTGGTAAAGCCATGTAGAATTTGTTTATTTAATTTTCATGACATTTGAATAGACATTTTTTTTGGCCTCATGTGTTGAAAGAGGATCTCAGAAAATAGAAAGATATCCCTTGCTCATGGATAGGAAGAACCAGTATAGTAAAAATAGCCTTACACCCAGAACTGTTATACAGATTTAATACAGTCTCAATCAAATGACTTCATGAACAAACCCCAGACCGCAAGGGGATACTACAAAGAATCAACAAATGGGATTTCAGCTTATTAAAAAGCTTTTGCAAAACAAAAGAAATTACTAACAGAGTGAAAAACCCACAAAATAGGAGAAAATTATAACCAGTTACCCTTCAGACAAAGAACTTCTATCTAGAACATATAAAGGATTGAAAAAAATCAGGCACCGAAAGTTCAAAGATCCAACCTAAAAATGGGCATCTGAGATGCATATACACTTACTCATATGAAGAGACACAAGTAGCAAATACATATATGAAAAAATGTTCAACATCATTAGTCATTTGGGAAAGGCAAATTAAAACAATACTGAGGTTCCGTATCACCCCAGAAAGAATGACTGTCATCAAGAAATTAACCAATAACTACTGCTGGCAAACATGTGGGAGAAAGAACTCTTCCTCAGTGTTGGTGGAAGTGTAGACTGGTGCAACCACTGTGGAAATCAGTATAGAGATTCCTCAAAAGTCTAGAATTCGAGGTCCCGATGGACCCAGTATTCCCCATCTGCTTATTTTCCCAGAAGCCCTAAACACTTCATATCACAGTGATATATATGCACCCATGTTTATAGCAGCACAATTTGTAATAGCTAAATCTTGGAAACAACCCGAATGCCCATCATCTGAGGAATAGATATTTATAATGTGGGTTTTTTTAAAAATATAATGAAGTAGGTGTCCTCTGGTCCGTCCAGTTTAGAGAGGCTTGTTTTCTTGGGTGCCTTTAGTTGGGATTCTGTTTGCCTGTTATTTACGGCAGGGCTTTGTGGAGGAACAGTGTCACAAGTACAGAATCTCCATCGTTTGGTACCTTTGTATCAACCTTGTCCACCCTGCCGGGAGATTGGCTGGCGTGATCTCTGAAGCCCTTCCCTCTGGTCGTTTACTAGTACAGAAACTTGAATCGGTGACAGTGCCTAAAAGCCTATTATGACAGAATCACAGTGACTATTATGGAACAGGGTGATAGTTATTATGGCATTTAGTGTGTGCACCTTGTCCAGTACAGTGCTGAATTTTACATGAATCATCTCATTAAAGCCTAAAAGCTCTAAGAGGTGGACATCAGGCAGGACCCCTTGTTTTCCACAGAGGGAAACAAAACTCCAAGAAGAAGAGTGACTTGTCTTCGTGATAATTTGAACTAACGCAACATACTAACGCAGTATGACTGAAGTCCGGGCTCTTGGATGAATGTCTGTTTAATATTTTGTAAACCTGATGTCTGTTCAAACAGTCAAAGGATAATAGCTAATAGTGACTGAACATAACCTAGCCCTAGCAACTGTGAAGTGGATCCTGTTCTGCTCCTGTCTTTGCTTGCCTATTTGAGGGCTTGGCAGTAGCTCCTTTCCTGCTCATCAGTTTTTCTTTATTGGATCTTCCTTAACAACAGGTAAAGGGAAAGTGTGCTGGTGGGCTCAGGAATAGTGTGTTGCACTCGCTGTGAGCCATCAGTAGCGATGGAGCCAAATGGAATTGAAGGGTCCTCAGAAAGTGGTATCTCCTGTTATTACCGAGTCTGCCATCACACAGAATAAGCCATAAAAGCATTTCACACCCTCGAATATTCTCCAGAGCCAAGTGTGGCACATGCCTGTATTCCCAGCACTCTGAGAGGCTGAAACAGGAAGACCGCGATTTTGATCTCAGCTGGACAATTTAACAGCCTATCAGTCGCCCTTTTGAAGAAAAGGATCAGGTCCCACTCCCTGTGGGATGTGATTCCATGGAAGGGAGCCACTACGCATCTCTTGCCATGTACTGACATCATGAGCAATACTAATCATGTCCACCACTCACTAAATGTATTTAAGAGATGGGGAGAACATGGCGGACAGACAACAGCAACTACTGAACGCTCTCTAAAGGCTCGGCTCAGAGGCCAGGAATGATGCGGACTAAGGAGATACGAACCAGTAGAGATATGCTCTGCTGACTCAGGAACGAACTGGGCTGAGAGAATCCAACTTGGAATACAGTCCTGGCGCTAAAATAGGAACAGAAAAATCTCGGTGTGGAGGCTCGACCCCACGCCATTGGAAACCGCGGTTTGGATTTCCCGCCGCCCGGCGGCCGGCTGCCTCCACAGCGGCTCGGCAAGGAGAGACACGCAGAGGCTTGGAAACGGGAGTCTGCGAACGGAGTCGGAAACGCGACGGACAGGGAGGAAGGCTGACTGGTGGCGAGGTGAGCGAGGAACTGACTCCCTACCGCAGGTTGACTCCAGCGGAGGTTTTTCTGGGCGCGGGCAGTCCTGTAAGAGCAGGGCGCGGTGGCAACTGCAGCCGCACGTTTCCCTCTCGGACGGGATTGGTGAAAGGTGCCTGGCCGGAGGGACGCTGCTGGCGGACTCCCTAGGCTGGCCTAACCCAGATCCCAGAGCCTGACGGTGGCCCGGAGGAGCGACCGACTCCCGGGTAGGCTGCCTCCTCTGCAACTCCCTGGGGCGCAGCGGTGAGCGGGAACAACTAGCCAGCGCAATTTGATCAAGCTGTGGCTGACAGGCAGGGAAGCCGGGCCTCCTGTGTAAGATTACATTTTATAAGGAACAGAAAATATGGGGAAGGGAAGCAACAAAAAAGGCTCCTCGACCCCCAATCCTGAGAATCAGGCAGTGGACACTGCACCAATATACATTAAGCGCCATTTAGAGAGCCTCATAGACCAATTCAGGAATGAAGTTATCAATGACCTGAAGCTAGAAGTATGCAGAATAGTTAGAGAAATGCTAAGCACCACCCAGGAAAAAGCAGATGGTGGAATGGAAGAACAGAAAAAGAGGGGAGAATTGCTTGATGGAGAAAACAGAGAAAGCATTGAGTATGTGAAGCAGGTTCAAAGGGACTATCAAGAAATTAAGAAGTCTACCCAAGACTGGCATAACAGCTTGAAAGAAACTAAGGACAGACTATCTGAATTGGAGGGCAGACTTGAAACATGGGAGAATGAAATGAAAAACTTCTTAAAAATAACAAAGAAACACACAGCAATAATACAAAGACAAGAAGATGATAAGAGGAGCCATAACTTAAGGATTAAGAACATAAAAGAAGAAGTAGGGACACAAACAAGTGAACTACAAAAGCTACTCACAGAAATAATCCAGGAGAATTTTCCTAATTTAGCAAAAGGTAAAGATACTCAAATGTATGAGGCATACAGGACCCCAGCTACCTACAACCCTAACAGAGAAACACCCAGGCATATAATAATAAAAATTCCAGAAATTCAATACAAGAACAGAATATTAAAAGCTGTAAGAGACAAGAAACAGATCACTTACAAGGGAAGACCCATCAGAATTACAGCAGATTTCTCTTCACAAACCATCAAATCATGAAGAGCATGGGGAGAAATAATTCAAGCTTTGAAAGATAATAATCTACAGCCAAGATTGAGATATCCTGCACAACTGTCCCTGGAAATTGATGGAAAAACGAGGTGCTTCCAGGATAAAGAGGAACTGGGGGAATTTGCAACCACCAATTCAACCCTACAGAAAGTATTGCAGGATATTCTAAAAAAAGAAAAATACAAAGAACCCAGAAATAGGGGCGGGGAGGCCACAACGAATGGAGCAGAGAACAAAATGAAGAAGACAAACTGACAGCTACTGACAGAAAAAGAGCTCAACAGAAATGAGACAGAGAAGATTGGATGATAGGAACAGCTTTTTTTGGAGAAAATGACATCTTAATAGGTAATGCTGATTTAGTACCATCTTGTTTTGAAGTCTCATCTAGCTTTTGTTCTTCTGTCTCCAATGGTCTAAACAGGTTGTATCTTATTGGATTTTGTTAAGTACGATAGTATAAGAAAAAACCTTTTAAAGACAAGGAGATTATACAGAGACCATTGTTCATTTTCTGTTAGTCGATTCTAAATACTCTATAATGCTGTCATTCTCTTAAATGGATTTACATTGTTTTGATATACTTAATGCTACAGTATATGAAGTTGTACTCAAGGACTTCAGGGAGGGAGTCAATATGGTAACTATTTTTGGGTCAGGATTATCTGGTGGTGAAACACTATTCTGCTTAAATGGTTATGTTTTGATCTGCCCTGTTTCGCTGTTATGCCCTCTTTTTTCTCAATCTCCACTCCATTATTTACTTTTTTATTTTTATCCATTTAATTAAAGGGAAAAATATAGCAGGATATAATATAGTAACCCACTTTGACTTTCTATTATCTCGATTTGAAGCCCTGTGTTACTCTCACCATCTTGTTTTTGACTGAGGTTCCTCTATTCTGTTTTGCTGGATAGTATCAGGTTCGAAAGTTTAGGCATCAGCTGAGAAGATAATGAGATTCATTATAACGCCCATTCTCGTTGACTTTTATCTACTTTTGAAGACCTACAATATCTCCAATGTTTTGGTTTTGTCGGTTTTATTCTTTACGGTTTTGTTCAATTGTATTACAACTAATGATATAGGCAATTCTATTAGAAATAGCGGGAGGCATTATGGTAACCATTGTTGATCACCTTGTATTATGATTTTATATTATCTATTA